TGTTCTTCTCTCTCTCTCTCTCTCTCTCTCTCTCTCTCTCTCTCAATGAATTGACTACATGAACCGAATTCAAAAAGTATTCTATTAAACTGATAAAAAAAATAGAAAAAAATAAAATAACAATTTAATAACTACCTTTATACATTTGTTTATTATTTGTACAAACAAAAATAGTAGTAACATTATTTTTGTGTAGAAACAGTTGGTATAAATATATTTAAAATTAATAATAACGAAATCGTAAATTTATTTGATTTTTAACAAATTTTTACTATTGTGCACATATATTCTGACTTTTCTATTAATTAAATTTTCAAGAAAATATATGTGTCTCATTATTTCGTACGACGTCCATTGTGGGCGCACAATTATCGATTGACATACATATGTGGGGGTTTATAGCCGTGTGCAGGCAAGTGCGTGTAAAAATATATGTGAAACTCACAACGGGTTAGATCCATCTAAAATAATACGTTTTTTTTTTTTCATAAAGCTATCTAAGCTCGGCTCGCATTTACCACCGATATGGAATACGGAAATGTGTTATCATAGACTTCGCAAACACAGAATGGCAATTACAATTAAGTCGGGACTGGCGATAAGGCTTTCCGTGAATGCGTGACACGCTCGATATAGTTGTTGACATTCTGCCGTGTACACGGACGCGACGTTAGCGGGTTTTTTAAACGCGGCACGAAGAAGCTCTCGAATATGTTTTCCACGAATTCATGTGAAGCGATACGGATACTCGCGGTCGAATGATATAAGTCAGATAGCCCTGACGTTTAATTAGTAAAGTAAGCTATTAATATTGGTTCGCTGTTTGATCTATCACGCGATTGAAGGCTCACTTCGTTGTTGGTAGCTCTATCTGAAAATTACAGTTGGAAAAAAGAAAATAAATGTCAAGCGCTGACTGGCGTTATAACAGACGTTTTCCGCCGAATATCTCCATTGTCCGTTTTAAATCGAACTACTATCGGCGATAGCAACGCGGACCGCTGATAAAATTGCCGTTCGGTAATTTTTCATCAAACAATGGACACCGCTCCGCCGCTCAAACATACATACGTCACACAGGCCTCAACGAAGTGAAAACATAATTTATCGGCGATTGTGTATAACTCATGAATTTATTCAACAATGTGGCCGCGCGAGCGCGCAGCGACATTTCGGTAGGTTAGCAATTCCGATAAAACGTTTCCCGTATCTCATTTTGATCGAATTATCTTCTCCGCATTGAAACGCGGTGATATATCAAGCGCGCGGAATCATTCGGCGACATTGCGAACGAGGCCGTGTGCTGTTTTCAATTTAAATTAATCCCGCCGGTCTCGCCTGTACGCAG